AAATTTATTTATTCACAGTTCAGGTTACAAATCCCAAGATCCAGGTGTCCAAAGTTTTGGTTTCTGGCAAAAGTTCCCCTTCTGGCTTGTGGATGGCCTTTCCTGGGTGTGAGCACACACATATTCAAAGAGAGAATAGAATGAAAGAGAGCAAGCCATGCACCAACATTCTGGTCTCTTCTAATTAGGACACTGATCCTATCTGATCAGGGCCCCACCCTATGACCTCATTTAACCTTGATTAACTCCTTACAAGCCCCTTCTCCAAATTCAGGAGTTAAAATGGGAATTAGAGCTTCAGCATATAAATGAGGGGCCCAAGTTCAGTCCATAACAAACCCTCTGCACAGAAGTTCAGAAAATAATGTCACATCATTAGTGTTCAGAGTGTACCCGTTCTAACAACACTTGGTAATTACTCGCATCTTCTAGTCTTTCACAGTGGTCATAGTTCCTCTGGTTCCATACTGAATTTGTTTCATTGTTCTGATCTTTTTTTTTTTAAGATTCTGTTTATTTATTCATAAGAGACAGAGAGAGAGAGAGAGAGAGAGAGAGAGAGAGAGAGAGAAGCAGAGACACAGGCAGAGGGAGAAGTAGGCTCCATGCAGGGAGCCTGATGTGGGACTTGATCCCGGGACTCCAGGATCACGCACTGGACGGAAGGCAGGCGCTAAACCGCTGAGCCACCCAGGGATCCCCTGTTCTGATCTTTTGAAAGAAAAGTAAAAGCTTGGATTTCTAATCTGGTGCCTTGATAATGAAGGCGATAACAAGTCTGTGTATGAAAATATCCAGCATATTTGGATCTAAAAATATTAGTAACTTCATATCAAATGGCCTTTCCTTAGAGCTCATTCTGGGAGTTTCATAGCGTTAGTCCCCCATCACACCATCTTTTGTGAATTTTTGCCTTTTTTGGTCTTTTCTGACGATACTCAGTGTTTTCTACCTACATTACTGATTGTTTCTTCTGTTTTCCCAACTGACTCTTCCTTTGGCTTGTACTGTGCACCCACAGGCTGAATTCTATTGATCTTTTTATTCCATGTCTTGAACATTTCATATCCTCTCATTCTTCATCTATTCTGTATGTGGACTGCTCTCATGTTTGCGTCCTCAGCCCTAACCTGACCCACGGGTGCCCTTCGCACTCTCGCCTCCAGTGTTCATTTCTATTTCTATTTCTTCCTTGCGTCTCAATTCAGCATGCCCCAAACTGATCATTTCCTAGAAAATCAGCTTCTTTGTGCCAAAAGAACTCTTAGTAATTTTGATTGACTGACTGACTGACAGAGTCAGAAGGAGTCAGAAGGATTTAGTGAGCACCTGCCCATGTCAGGCATTATGCTTGGTGGTGCTTATATCCAATTGTTATTCTTTGGTAATGTCGGTTGTAAGTGTCTGGGTCTTTTCCAATTTTTCTGAACTAGTTATTTCATATTTGGATTTTTCAGCATCTCCAAACTGATGAATCCCTAATTATCTTTCAAGATCCCATTGAAAAGTCACCACCTAGTGTGATGTAGGTTGACTCGTGGGCACCCGTAATATACATTTAAGTCTTAACCACTGATACCTTTGAATGTGACCTCAATTGGAAATATAGGCATACACAGAACATATTACAGATTCGGTTCCAGACGACAGCAATAAAGTGAATATCAAAATAAAGTGAGTCAAATGGATTTTTTGGTTTCCAAAGCATGTAAAGGTTTACACTATGCTTTATTAGACAACACTGTACTACACTATACCGTTGTGTAATATCATTAAGTGTGTAATAGCATTATGTCTAGAAAAAAAGTATATCCTTTAATTTAAAAATATTGCTAAGAAATGCTGTCATCTAAAGCCTTCGGAGGGTTGTACTCACTGATCAGATCACCATAAAAAACACCATAATAATGAAAAAGCTTGAAATATTGTGAAAATTACCAAAATGTGACAGACACATGAGACGTGAGCAAATGCTGTTGGAAAAATGATGCCAAAAGACTTGCCCAATGCAGGGCTGCCATAAACCTTCTATGTGTAAAAAACACAATATCTTCAAAGTGTAATAAAGTGAAGTGCAATAATATGAGGTATGTCTGGAAAGTCTTTGCAGAGGTAATCAAGTTAAGATGAGGCCATGCTGGATTAGGACTGGTGTCTTTTTTTTTTAAAGACTTTATTTATTCATGAGAGACACACAGAGACAGAGAGAGAGGGGCAGAGTGACACAGGCAGAGGGAGAAGCAGGCTCCATGCAGGGAGATGGACGTGGGACTCGATGGAACAGATTATCCCCGAGAACCTCTAGAAGGAACTAACCCTGCTGACAACTTCATTTCAGACTTGTGGCTTCCAGAACTGTGAATGAAGAAACTTCTGTTGTTTTAAGACATTAGTTTGTGCTAATTTATTACAGCAGTCCCAGCAAACTAAAACACTCTGTGAAACCATTTATAATCTTCCCAAAGCCCTTTCTTTTGCAGTCTCTTTACTTGCCATGATTTTTAAAATTTGCTATTTAATCTCCTTTAAGTAGTGGAAAAATATCACTTAACATTATTAGCACAAATGTTATCATTGAGCTTTATTTCGTGCAATGCCACTTTTAAATGCAAACTCATATGTGGATCACCAAAATCACAGAGTTTGTATTTCAGAACCTGTATATGCATATGCATTTCATTCTTAATAGAACTGTGGAAAAGCTGCATACACGAACTCAAAATATTTTCATTTCATTTCTTGAGATGTGCACATTCTACTAACACTCTTTAGCTTTAGCTTACTGATAAGGATGGACAGGAGAAGAAACTCCGGCTGCCCCTCTTCCCCTTTCCTTCAATCACTTCATTTTTAGTGCTAGTGGTTGATTAATCCTGGGAACTGACACAAGTGAAAAAGGATAGGATTCCTTGGACATTCATGCTTCTTAGAACACCACTGCCTCAAGGGATCCCCAGGTGGCTCAGTGGTTTAGTGCCTGCCTTCGACCCTAGGTGTGATCCTGGAGCTCACTACATGGAGCCTGCTTCTCTCTGTGTGTGTGTCTCTCATGAATAAATAAATAAAATCTTTAAAAAAAAAAAAAAAAGAACACCACTGCCTCATTTCTGCATTCATAGGAAGTTCTGATTGGTAAGGAAAGATTAGTAAAACAGCCCTTGGCACTGTCTGTACCCTCCCACCCCTTTACTAAGTGGTAGGTGTAACACACTTGCCGTGTAATGGTTTTGAGTCTATTCTAACTCCCATGTGTTGTAGGTCCAATAGAATTCTGTGCTCATGGGACACCTTGAATGCTAAATTCCAATGGTTGGCAAAGAAGTATGGATGTTCATATATTGCGTACACCTCTTCTGCTCATGCTCCATTGTGCTTTCACTTATAAAACACAAGTTGAGGGGATCCCTGGGTAGCTCGGTGGTTTAGTGCCTGCCTTCGGCCCATGGAGTAATCCTGGAGACCTGGGATCCAGTCCCACATCAGGCTCCTTGCATGGAGCCTGCTTCTCCCTCTGCCTCTGTCTGGGCCTCTCTCTCTCTCTCTCTCTCTCTCTCTCTCTCTGTGTGTGTGTCTCTCATGAATAAATAAAGAAAATCTTTAAAAAAAAAAAAAAACAGGGATCCCTGGGTGGCGCAGCGGTTTGGCGCCTGCCTTTGGCCCAGGGCACGATCCTGGAGACCTGGGATCGAATCCCACGTCGGGCTCCCGGTGCATGGAGCCTGCTTCTCCCTCTGCCTGTGTCTCTGCCCCGCCCCCTCTGTGACTATCATAAATAAATAAATAAAAAATTAAAAAAAAACACAAGTTGAAAGGCAAAATTCTTAAAACACTTCAAAATGGTGACAACTGAGCATTAAACCAAGGGCAAGTTCCTTCTGAGAACAGGGCCCTGTGCAATTGCACAGGTTGCATATCGATGAATCCAGCTCTAGTTTAAGAGTCCCAGTTAATACACAATTTTTTTAAATATTTGGAATTGTCAACCTCTTAATTTTAGCCATCTACACACTCCTTTTATGATTTTATATTACAATGAGTAATAGGCTTATAAAATGAAAAATCCTAAAAGGTAAGCATTTTTTGGCTCATCTTCATGGAAACGAGTTTAGTTTTTTTTTTTTTTAAGATTTTATTTATTTATTTATTCATGAGAGGCAGAGACACAGGCAGAGGGAGAAGCAGGCTCCCTGCAAGGAACCCGACGCGGGACTCGAACCCGGGACCCCGGGGTCACGCCCTGGGCTGAAGGCAGGTGCTCAACCACTGAGCCCCCCAGGTGTCCCCAGTTTAGTCCTGTTGACAAAAGCTTCCAATACCATCAAGCTTAAGGATCTAGATTCAGAATAGACCGTTCCACGGCTATTCTGGGGTCCGCTTAGTCTTTTGAACATTATGGTTAAAGCGGGGACCAGGCAACTGTGCGGGGGGGGGGGGAGGCGGGGGGTGTCAGAGTCAACTCCTCAGAACCACTCCGAGGGGCCCCGCGATGACGTTACTCGGGGCCCATCTCCAGCTCCTCCGAGCCCCGGGCCGGCAGCAGCGCCGCGAGGGTGCGCCCTGACCCCTGGGGCCTGCCAGCGGCGCTTCCGTTAAGTGAAACCGATACTGGGGCGCCCGGGGGGCTGCGCGGTGGGGCGTCTGCCCGGGGCTCAGGGCGTGACCCCGGGGTTCCGGGATCGAGTCCCGCGTCGGGCTGCCTGCATGGAGCCTGCTTCTCCCTCTCTTCGGTGTCTCTGCCTCTCTCTCTGGGTCTCATGCATAAATCAGTAAAATCTTAAAAAAAAAAAAAGAAAGAAAAAATATCAGTAAAAGTGCCTTTGCGATGTGATTGCTGGAGGACCCTGAAGGAGACGGGCGAGTGTTGAAGGCCGGGCGGATGGGCCTGGCTGCACCCTCGAGCGCAGCGGCCCTGCAGAGCTGGCCCAGGGCCAAGCGGAGACCCCGCCCCCTCCCTCCCCGCCCGACGGCGGCGGCGCGGGGAGCGCATCGATGAGCGCGGCCTGCGCTCGGCGGCTCGGTGGCTCGGCTAGTGGGGGCTGGAGCGCCCATCCCGGAAGTGCGCTGGCGGCCGTTGCGGCCTCGTCGTTGCCCCCGCCCGGCGGGGTCGCTGGGCTTCCGCCGCCGCCATGGCCGACCCCGACCCCCGCTACCCCTGCGCCTCCATCGAGGATGACTTCAACTATGGCAGCTGCGTGGCCTCCGCCAGTGTGCACATCCGAATGGGTACGCGCCCCGCCCCGGGCCCCCGCCGGCCTGCCGCGCCGTCCGCCTCCCCGGGCGGCCTGGGCCTCGGCGGGAGCGCCTCCGGGGGCCGCAGGCTTCGGGGGCCGCCCTCCCCCCCCCCCCGGCGCCCGCCGCCCCTCCCCCCCCGCGCCCGCCGCCCCTCCCCCTGCGCCTCCCCCGGGACGGCGGCGGACGTGCCCCCGCGGCGTGGCTCGGGGACCGCCCGGAGCCCGTCCCACGGCGCCGCCGCCCGGGTCCGCGGCGGAGGAAAACCTCGCCGGCCTTGTTTTGGCACCTGCGTTACTATTATTATCATTATTATTGTCACAGGGATTTTATTTATTTATTCACGAGAGACACCGAAGAGAGGGAGAAGCAGGCTCCATGCAGGCAGCCCGACGCGGGACTCGATCCCGGAACCCCGGGGTCACGCCCTGAGCCCCGGGCAGACGCCCCACCGCGCAGCCCCCCGGGCGCCCCAGTATCGGTTTCACTTAACGGAAGCGCCGCTGGCAGGCCCCAGGGGTCAGGGCGCACCCTCGCGGCGCTGCTGCCGGCCCGGGGCTCGGAGGAGCTGGAGATGGGCCCCGAGTAACGTCATCGCGGGGCCCCTCGGAGTGGTTCTGAGGAGTTGACTTTGACACCCCCCGCCTCCCCCCCCCCCCCGCACAGTTGCCTGGTCCCCGCTTTAACCATAATGTTCAAAAGACTAAGCGGACCCCAGAATAGCCGTGGAACGGTCTATTCTGAATCTAGATCCTTAAGCTTGATGGTATTGGAAGCTTTTGTCAACAGGACTAAACTGGGGACACCTGGGGGGCTCAGTGGTTGAGCACCTGCCTTCAGCCCAGGGCGTGACCCCGGGCCTCCTGACGTCATTGTGACGTACACCTACATGCAGTCGTGTGCTTGTGCGGTTTCCTTTCTTTTTTTTCTCTTTTCTTTTCTTTTTTTTTTTTTTTTTATAATTTTTTTTAAGATTTTATTTATTTATTCATAGAGACACAGCTAGAGAGAGAGGCAGAGACACAGGCAGAGGGAGAAGCAGGCTCCATGCAGGAAGCCCGACGTGGGACTCGATCCCGGGTCTCCAGGATCACACCCCGGGCTGCAGGCGGCGCTAAACCGCTCCGCCACCGGGGCTGCCCTCTCTTTTCTTTTCTTTCTTTTCTTTCCCTTTCTCCCTTCCCTTCCACCCTTCTTCCTTGATGGTGGGATCGTTTCAAGTTTCTACTTACTGCTCCAGCCTCCTTTGCTGGATGGTAGGATCTGTAAGGCCAGAGGAACCGCATCCGTTCTTGTTTCACTCTTCAGTGTCTGCAAGACCTGGAACTCAGCACAAGTTTGAGGATTAATTGAGGCAGTTGCTGGAAATGGAGGCTTTAGAGGTCGATCAATATGCAATATTAGTTTTAAGTTCTTTTTTTTTTTAATATTTTATTCATGAGAGACACACACGCACAGAGAGGCAGAGACACAGGCAGAGGGAGAAGCAGGCTCCATGCAGGGAGCCCGACGTGGGATTCGATCCCGGGGCTCCAGGATCAGGCCCCGGGGCCAAAGGCAGGCGCCAAACCGCTGCGCCACCCAGGGATCCCCCTACTTTTAAGTTCTTATGCAGTATTTATGGGGCAGAAATAAATTTTAATCTAAAATGCTTAAAAAATTAAAATAGTTCGTTTCACATTAGTGGAATTCACCGTCTGTTACAGTTTAGCCAGTTGCTTACAGAAGTTGCCCCATAGTTTCATCCTGTCCCCGTGGCTGGAACTTATCCTGGAAAAGGGATTACCGAGATCTGATGGCACTAAGACTTTTTTTTTTTTTTTAAGATTTTATTTATTCATGAGAGACACAGGGAGAGAGAGAGAGAGAGAGAGAGAGAGAGAGAGAGAGAGAGGCAGGCTCCATGCAGGGAGCCTGACGTGGGACTCGATCCCGGGACCCCAGGATCACACCTGGGCTGAAGGCGGCACTAAATCGCTGAGCCACCCGGGCTGCCCAGGCGCTAAGAATCTTGATCCCTAACATCTCTATTTCTGGAATTGGATTTTGGAATGATTTTGGCAAAGGAGCATAGTTTTTAAAATTTTTAATTGTGGCAAAACACATGTTAAAAATGTCCCTTACAGGGCATTAAAAATGTCCCACCTTCACCTTCTTACAGTGTACCTACAGTTCAGGAGTGTTAAGGTTATTCACATTGTTGTGCAACTGATCTCCAGGACTTTTTAGTCTTGCAAAACTGAGAGTTTGTACCATTAAAGAACTCCCTGTTTTCCCCTCTTCCAGTGCCTGGCAAAGGCAATTCTACTTTATGAACTTGGCTTCACTAGGATTTGTCATATAAGTGGAATCATACAGTATGTACCTCCTTGTGACTAGTTTATTCCAATTAGCATGTCTTTTGGTTGTGTCCATTTTTTCTTTCTTAGGGAGGCAGGAGAGGGACAGAGGGAGAAGGAGACTCTGTGCCCTCGATCTCACAACCCTGAGATTATGACCTGAGCCAAAAGCAGGAGTCTGACACCTAAGGGACTGAGCCACCCAGGCACCCCAAGGTGTATCTATTTTATAGCATGTGTCAGACTTTTCTTTTTAAGGCCGGACAATTTTCCATTGTGTGACAAAATCACATTTTGTTGATATGTTTGTCTACTTGACGCCTGCGTAGCTTTGACCTGGCTGTGAATCGTGTTGCTGTAAACGTGTGTACAGTGCCCCCATGGGATGCTGCTTTCACTTGTTCCGTCTGTCTACCCAGAAGTGGCATCGCTGGATCCAGGGTGTTTTAGTGAAAAACCTATTTTTCCCTCCTTACTAGGGAAAAAAAACAGTTTTTCCTCCTCTGTTTCTTCTTTACTACTCACACAGAACACTTCAGTTCTGACCCTTCTAGTCCCCCAAACTGTGGGTTTTTCCCCCACACCAAGCAGTTCTCCACGACACCAGCTCTGTGTCCTACAATTTAGCTCCATTCTGACACTGTCTCCTAGTGGATAGTACCGGACCCCACGGGTGAAGGGCTCAGTCCCATAAGACTGCTCCCACTCCACTTCAGATGCCAGTTGCAAGTAACAGGTCCCCAGTTACTCATAACTTGTCAGACTCGGCTCTAAATTGAAGGTTCCCGTGACTCCCTTCTTGGATTGACCAGAGCAGCGCAAAGAACTCCAGGATACCACGTTCGCCAGTTTACTAAAAAGTAAATGGGGTAGCCCTGGTGGTCCAGCGGTTTAGCGCCGCCTTCAGCCCAGGATGTGATCTTGGAGACCCCGGATCGAGTCCCGTGTCGGGCTCCCTGGGTGGAGCCTGCTTCTCCCTCTGCCTGGGTCTCTGCCTCTCTCTCGTCTGTCTGTCATGAATAAATAAATAAAATCTTAAAAAAAAAAGTAAACAGCTGGATGAAAACAGAGTGGGAGGTCTGGGAGGGTACCAGGCTCGGGAGCTTCTGCCCCGGTGGAGTTGAGGTGCGTGACCCTTCCAGTATGTGGATATGTTCACCAGCCTGGAAGCTCTCCAAACTCCTACTCATCATTTTTATGCATGCTTCCTCACAGAGGCATGATCAATTATTAACTCTATTTTCAACCTTTTTCCTTCTCCCCACTTCAGCAGGGCTGAAAATTCCATACTTGTTTATGGCTTGTTCTTTCTCGTGACCAGCCCTCATCTAAGAGAGTCACCTCAGTAGAGCAAAAGACATGTCTATCACCCAGGAAATTACAAGGGTTTCAAGAACCTAGTATCAGGAACTGGGGTGAAAGATCAAATATTAGAACAAAAGATGCTCCTAGTGCTCTTATCAGGTAGGAAATTACAATTTCAAGAGCTCTGTGCCAAGAACCTAGGACAAAGGCCAATATGTTTTTTCTATCATCTCACAATACGGTAATTGTATTTTTAGTGTTTTGGGAAACCACCATACTGTTTTACACAGTGACAGCACCATTTTATATTCTAACCAACATTAGGTGTTCCAGTTTTTCTACATTCTCATGCTTGTTTTTCCCCCGTTTCTCTGAAAGTAGCCATCCAAATGGGTATGAGGTGGTATCTCATTATGGTTCTGCTTTGCTTTTCCCTAGTAATTGGTGATATTCAGCATCTTTTCATATACTTGTGGGCCTTTTGTATCTTCTCTGAAGAAATGTTATTTAAGTCCTTTTTAAAAAATGGACTTTATTTCTTTTGAAGCAGTTTTAAGGGCAGCCCCGGTGGCTCGGCGGTTTAGCGTTGCCTTTAGCCCCGGGGCATGATCCTGGAGACCCGGGATTGAGTCCCATGTGCTTCTCCCTCTGCCTGTGTCTCTGCCTCTCTCTCATGAATAAATAAATAAAATCTTTTAAAAAATAAAATAAAATAAAGCAGTTTTAAGCTCACAGCAAACTGAGTGGGAAGTACAGAGTTCCTACGTAACCTGTCCCTACACATACATAAGCTTTCCTACATTAGCATCCTGCACCAGAGTGGTACATTTGTTATAACCCATAAGCCGAAGTTGACACATCATTATTACCTAAGGTCCATACTTTATATTAGAGTTCACTCTTGGTGTTCTACATCCTGTAGATTTTGACAAATAAGTAATGACATAGACCCACTATTGTAGTATCACATGGAATAATTCCATTGCCTTAAAACCCCTCTGTGTTCTGCTATTCATCCCTCCCTCTCAGCCGTCCCTGGTAACCAGCGATCTTTTTTACTGTCTCCATAGTTTTACCTTTTCCAGAATGCCATGTAGTTGGAATCATACAGTATATAGCCTTTTCAGATTGATTTCTTTTACTTAGTAATGTACATTTAAGATTCCTTCATATTTTTTCATGACTTGATAGCTTCTTTTTAGCACTGAATAATGTTCCATTGTCTGCATTGTACTTCAGTTTACTCATTTACCTGCTGAAGGACATCTTGGTAGCTTCCAAGTTTAGGTTATGGTTTAAATTACTATGTAAACATCCATGTATAGATTTTCTGTAGTCATAAGTTTTCAG